GGGCTGTTCCTTTAGAGAGAAAAAGGAATGTGTAAATAACACATTCAGACCTGCTCTAGCAGCCATCTAACGGGATTGTGGGGTGTAAAAATGCCTACATTTCTAACAAATTTTTTTTCCTGTATTTTGCAGCGGGAAACATCAACATCTACAGCCCGGAAAGTCCCACCCTGACCTCCAGTCCAGCCGCGATGACCACAACTGGGCAGTGGTCACCCCGCAGCCCAGGGCAGCAGGTCAAACGGTTCCAGGCGGGTGGCGGCCATTCCGGGGTCAATGTGATGACCTCATCGTTGCTGCTAGCCCCGGCCAGCAGAGCTACGAACAGAAACGTCGCTCTTGTGCCCGAGTCCCCGGTCAAAAGACACCGGGGGAGGTCGCTGTCCGGCCCAGGGAGTGTGGGGAGTGCAGGTGAGGCTCGGGCTACCGTTGTCTATTGTTCTATGGTGTAGCGGGTAGTCTCTTCGCTGACACATACAGGAGACTGGAGGTTGATTCTTGAGCCAGATAGATTATTTCATGTTATTTTGTTTTATTGTTTTAACTTTAATTATTAGAAAAAAAATGTTGTTGTTGTTGTTGAGTATGTCAGTGTTTCAGCTGGGATGTTGTATCTATCTCAGCCCAGATTGGCCCTCAGAGGCAGGGTCGGACTGACGTTAAAATTGTATTAATGGGGGCTCCTTCTTTCCTATCCATTATCCGTCATCTTTATCTCTCCTCCTTTTTTTCTTTGTATCTTACACTTTAGTAACGCCTCTAAATCTCAGGCCCTTATATGACTTAATCATGTTGAACTCTTACTAAAAAAACAAACAACCCAAAACTTACATGACCTAATTCTGTTATAAGTATGGAAAAATTAACTAAAAATTAAAAACTAAAACTAGTTTAATGGTGGAAGTTTCAGGCCAGGAATCATTACACAGGTGGATTCTCAGTTACATAGGACATAGAATTTGCACCTTTCCAAACAATATTTTATTTCCTTCATAAAAAAACTGCGTGGCAAAACTTTTCCCACATGATTTTCTGAGACAGCATGAACGAGAGTTTGTCTCAGCTAGTGAAGCAGATAAACAATATTTTATCACCTTCTTAAGAAAATGGAGAAAAAGCTGTGTATCTCAAAACTTCCAACCTGTGTTCTCAGAGGTCATGAGCAAGAGTTTGTCTTGGCCGGTAAATCAGATGAACGATATGTTGTAACCTTGTTGAGAAAAAAACGCTGAAAAAAAGCTGTGTATTGCTAAACTTTTCTCACATATGTTCTCAGACGGCATGAATGAGAGTTTATCTCCCCCTGTCAAGCAGACGGCTGAGCGAGATCACGGGGACGACTACAGCGACAGCAGCGGAGGTTTTCACGACTCCAACAGGTCAGTTCTTGCTTGTGTTAGTGGTTAGGCATCGCTATAAATATCCCTTGTTATCGTTTGTGTCACGATGCAGTGGAATCAGGCGCTCGTCAATTTTAGGACGTATGTAGTTATTGGTATCATTTTAAAGGCTGTTCATTTGCCTTGTTTGCTATGGAAAAATATTTTTTTGTCTTTATAGAAGTCAAGATATTTGCTATTCTGGTTTCAGAAGTAAAATTGGTGAGAAAATGACCGCCAAAGTTTAGTGACTTCCATAGCTTAAGAGTCTTTGGAAACTGAAAATTTACACTTTTGTGCCTTTAATCAATGTTTTTCCGTAAAATTCACACCTAAAAGTGTTTTTGAATGGATATACAAGGTGTTGAGTCAAAAAGCAAATTTGAAAAAAATATATTCCGAACTGCCGAAATTTTAAATTTCTTGTAACACCTCTAATCTAAAGCACTTCTATGACCTAATTGAATTGCAAGTGCCATAAAACCCTTATAAAACAATAAAACTGTGATGTCCTCTCCTTGCCTGTAGGTTACTGGCAAACTACAGTCAGTTGTCGGACAGAGTGCAGGCCCATGAGAATCGACAAGGTGATCTCCAGCACTACGTGAGAATGGTAGGTTTTAATACTACAGTCGAACCTGCTCTAACGATCACATGTCTAAGATAATCACCTGTAAAAACTACCACTTCCTATCTCCTCTCCCCCCCACCCCAATTTTTTTCTATGATATTATAATGTCACTGTCCATAAGGTCCACCTGTCAATGACAACCACTTTTCTCTTCGTTGTATGGCCATCTTGGACACTTTCCACTGTATTTCATTTGGTGGATGGAAGTGACTCTAGCGGTCGTGATCTTCAGAGTTCACAGTCGCATACTCTGTTTGGGGGGGGGGGGGGGGTTGCATGTATGCTTTAGGGGCAGGGGGTCCTTCAGAGACAAAAAGGAGTTTTTCAAAAATACAGTGGAACTTGCTTTAATGGCCACCTGTCCAAGACAATCACTTGTACAAACGACCACTTCCTATCTCTCCCCTTGTCCCTTTATGATTCAAACAAAGCTAGTACAGTGTCTCAAATGCCTTTAGTCTTTTTAACTCATTCGCTACGCCGAGCTGTGGGCAGCGGCGCGGCGAAAGTGTATTCCGTACGTCAAGCCACCGGGAACAGGCCTAGAATTCTAGCTTTGGTTTTATTCCAATCCACATATGGCGGAAAACACAGCAGAGGGCAAAATGGCACTTTCTGTATTCTGAACAATTTTTCTCAGAAATGGAATAACTGTGTGTGTGTATCTTTAGTTGATATCGTAGAGTGAAGTTTCGAGAAGCTGGGACAGCAACATTTTTGTGAGTTTTTACTTTTTGTGAAAGTTGTGGTTTTGTGAAGTTCCTGGACCCATGGAATGACGACAGACAATGTTTTCTTGACAACAGAACACGTAGAGAGAAGGGTAAGTCTAATTTATTTTTTTCATAATTTTTAATGGTAATTTTGCTAAGAATTTGTTCTAGAATGATAATAGTATGATTTGGCATTAAAAACATACGTAATTCTAAATTTGTTAGTTTTAGCATATTTTTTGTTTTAGTTACCATTAAACATGTTTTGACAATGTTTTAATCATAACTGCGATAATTTGTATTTTAAAAAGGACGAAAAATAGATTTTAAAAAGATTTACGGCTATTCATTCACGATCATTCGGGTTTCCGTCGCTCGTATTCCAACAGGTGAACAAACTGGAATTTGCGATCACGGCACAACGATCTCGCAGTAATTGTCCAAAACGAAGTTTTTAACAGTTCTAGGCCATAGTTTCATCGTTTCTATTCATTTTCTAACATTTATTGTTAAATTAAGTTTGAAAACCCGCATTTTTCACGTCTGTCGTACATCGGTCGGACTTTGCGCAGGTCGAACAAACAAGACTCGTGAACAACAAAATGAGCCTAAATCTAAGTCTTAAATGCGATTTTCAACCCAAATATCACGAAATGTAAGTCATTATCCATGCTAGTTTCATTTTAAGCGTAAATAAATCTTTAAATTGCTCCATGATGTGAGATAATCGCCTAAATCTAATTTTTTCGTAAGCACGACACGAAATCGCCGTGAAGGCAAGAAAATGGCGGCCGCGTAATCCGAAAGGGGGAGGAAGGGGGGAAGGCATTTCAAAGATCGTTGTGTCGCGATGTTCAGAATAGAATTAGATAGGCCTCGATCTACTTGGATTAGCTTCCAATGAATTTTAGTTAGTTTTTTAAATATTTTAAATTTAATTTAATGAACAAGAAGAGAAGACAGTCAAAATCAATTGCAGAGATGCCAACCAGTACGATTTTACGTATTTTAGTACGATTTTTGGCCGAAAATACGCGAATACGACTTTTCATGAAAAAATACGCATCCTGGAATGCGAAAAATACGAGATTCAGCTTGGGCGGGTAAACCTAATTATCTCAAGTCTCAAGTCCCATCTTTCGTCAAAATAGTATCAGTATTGCAGAACTGGAATATTTGAAAGCCAAGTCCGATGTGGTCAGTAAGTTAAATTTTGCCGGTCGCGATCGTATATTCGTTCAGCTTTTCTCCGTCCGGAGAGTACGTTTCACTTTCTCGCGAATAGGCAGCGATGGCGGCAGACGGAAGCGTATGTGACACTGAGGCTCGATCGGGAAAATCAAGATCTACTTTCGCTTTCGTTACCACCGAGAAGTTTGCCAGCAGTTGTCTGATAATGCAACATTTGTGGCATGCAGGTTGTGCAGTATAAACGCAATGTCGCCGTGCAAATTAAATGTAAGAAATACTCGGACTCGTCGCTTTGCTGTCACTTGTGGGGGAAAAAAAAGAAAAGAAAATATAAGCGTCGTCCGATTTTTAGATTGTCTGGCTCGCCGTCGTGACCGGTCACTGAACCTGCTCACGTTCGCATCATAAATAACGGCATCGAGTGAGCAAAGACCGTCTTTGGTGGGAGTAACGGCGCTGCGAAGTATATGACTACGGCATAGAGGAGGAGATTATTGATTTTTTGGGGGTTTAAGATACTATCGGGGGGGGGGGGGTGTTAAGGCAACACCAGAGGACAAAAACTTGGAAGCGCATTTCAGAACTTTGATTAGTTTTGTGCAAAGCGCGCGTTGGTGCAGGCCGTGTGCGGAATCATGACCCCTCATACTTTGCAAGTCTGTGTTATTGAAATAAAGTGTGCGCGTTTCATTGGATGGGTGATAGTAAATTATACGTACTTGGATGGGTGATAGTAAATTATACCTACAGTGTATGTTGTAGCTTTCTGTTCAAGACTGGCAGATTTTCAGTGTCACTGTATCTTGCCCTACCACAGTTGTTACAACTCTCAGGTGCATGGGTCTACTTGAGCCATTCAAGTTATTGCTTTTCTCTGAGTTTGAGCAATAATTTGATTCTGTCAGTTCATAATATGAATCATGACACCCAGACTGGTTCTTGATAGTCGAAGTTCTTGTTCTAGGCCATTCCGAACTCTCAAAGCAGGATTTATTTGTTATATAATAATGAGAGGAAAATAGACTGAAATACTTAAGTCAAACAAGACCCCAGTATGACACTGAACACTGGCATGTTGTTGAATGGATACATGTATATTGTATGCGTGTGTGCTCCCTTTTTTGAGCTGGTGAGCTAGTAATTTATTTTCAGGAAATATTGCTGGACACCCTGAACATTTTACTATTACTGGTTAGTCGGTCGGTCGTGGGGAATACACATTTTCCCCTGAAAATACACATTTTCATGTTTCCCAATACTCATTTCGGTTTTCTGTGGTTGGCATCTCTGCAATTGTGGAAACATGCAGTATAGACATAGAATGGAAATAAGAGGAGGGGAGGGGGGAACATGTAACGAAAAAATAATAATATTGTGAAGAGAAACTTCAAAATAAAGATAGCGAACGATGCATTCCAAAAATTTGAGAATTAAGGAGGGAGGGGGCACTCAAATACAGACAGGATTCATAAGACAATGATTATTTATTTGACAATGAAGAGATTCCAGAAGATATGATGATTTAAAGTCTAGTCTTTATAGACATGAGTGTCTCCAGACCTCTTTGATTTAACTTCACAATCCTTGGAACTGTTTGTGGTCAAGCTTTCTGAATGGCTAGTTACTCAAGATAGTGAACAAAGAGTAGTCTAGACACAACAGAAAGATGTTTCTTTAGGAGACTGCTGTTTCATGTTATGAGGAAAAGAAATCAAATAAGGTTGTGCAGAATGCGAGAAAGAAGGCCTACAAGGGACTAACTAATAAATACAATAAGAAAGAGACAAATGTAGGTGTGATACATTCAATTGACATTTTAAAAAAGCCTAGAACATCTACTAATTACTGAAAAAATAGAGGCCAAAAGAGGCAAGGGTGGACATATTCTGCCATGGTTAGTAAACGGCTAAAATTGTTAGTTCCGATTGAAATTTAACAAATCAGATCATAATATTTATTACAAATAATTGCTGTTTTTCCCAACTAAGTTCTTTATTTCTCAAGGTGTGTTATTTGATTTTTTCCTGTAGGTTAAGGTTAAAATGCTCAAGGAGGATGACTTCAGTGTGAGATTTATGGAAAAGAGCAGCCCCAGCGACGTCTTTTCCTAGAGCAACGATGTTGGTCTAATCACAAATAAGGGATCACCAGACTTCTTCACCTGGACAAATACAAAAGGACTAACAAGAGGCATTAGATCTCAAGGCCATTATTTTCATTTTTCCATTTTTTTTCTCATGTCCACTCATTAATTGGTGTAATAAATATATTTGTGTAAACTGTGCATTGGTCGGCTTCATTTAATTGTCTCCCCTTTTCATAAATTCTTGAATTTTGTGCTTGTTTTTGCTTATATATGCTCTGAGTATATCAGGATGGGTCCTGCTTTCAGTTTGGAAGACATTATTGCAGAGATAAGCAATTGAAATCACTTTTAAGTGAGTAAATTGAACTTATGTTAATTAAACGTTTACACATGGGTACCTGTGATTACGCGCCCTTTATTACATAACGAGACAGCTGTTGCCCATGACACAAACATTTCTGAAATCTACAGGGTTTGAGCTAAATTTTGATACCATATTCAATACTGTGCATTCATTTGGAAAAATTGCCAAAATAGGCCATTTGAAGTAGATGCCAGCATTGCCTGTGTGTTTTCCGCCGTATCCATGATAAAATAAAGGTTATAACATTGACTTCCGGGTCAAGCGTTTCCACTGAAAATCGGAAGTTTAGATTCAGTTTTGAACTGTGATTTCAAAGTCTTAAACGACTTTGTTTTATCGCAATTCCCAAATTATAGCCCAGACACAAGTCTTAGTACTTTCATACAACAAAATGTATCATTATTTTGCTCACTAAAGAAATGTAGAACTCTTATTTAGAGTATTGATACTACTGGACTCAAATTGAAAGTGATCTGTTATTGAGAAATCAATATTTTTCAGTGTTAGATCTAAGTCTAGATCTAAATTGTCAAAATATATTTTTCTCCCCAAAATCATTACTTTTTGGTGAAATTACACAAAAAGTACCCCTCAAGACATTATAGGTTTTTTCCATATGCAATTCTGAATGATTTCATACAAGTGTTTTTTCTGTTTGTGAATGCACCTTGTCTTTTTTCAAGATTATAAAAAAAAAAGTTAATATCTAAGGTGATTTCAATGCCCACAGCCCCCTTTGGGGAGACAAACCTATAGACCAGAAAGGTAAAATAATAGAAAACTTTTTATTTCAAAATAACATGTCTCTTAAATGATAAATCCCCAACTTTCAGAAACAGAGCCACTTATGGCACTTCATCCCTTGACCTTACTTTTTGTACCCCTGAACTAGTCCCAGATTCTTGAGTGGTCTGTGCTGGATGACCGTACGGATCATTTCCCAATTCTCCTCAAAAACAATAGCCTCCAAAACGACCCGATCCCAGAACGCTTCAACTTCAAAAAAGCCGACTGGGACGGGTTTGCCAATCAATGTTCCCAGACTCTTAATCCCAATTTCGACCACAACTACAATAAATTCAACGAAAAGCTCTTAGAAATATGCCACAATCACATTCCAAAAACAAAAACAAAACCCCGGAGGAACAAGATCTGGTTCTCTTGGGAATGTGAGGACGCAGTAAAGAAAAAGAAGGCAGCGTATCGAAAAGCCGTCAACAACACCACCATAGAAAACAAGATCAATTATTTAAAGGCTCGAGCTGTGGCACGTAGATGCCTCAGGGAGAGCAAAAGACAATCATTCCAAAAATACATCTCCAAAATCAACAGCCAGACACCACTCAACCAAGTTTTCAAAATTGTTAAAAAATTCTTAGGTAGAGGCACAGACACCATTCGGCACGTCCAGAGGCCGGATGGAACAACAGCTGAAACACAAGTAGACATTGCAAACACAATAGCTACATCTCTAGCCAAAAACTCATCCCAAGCAAACTACAACACCACTTTTCAAAACATCAAAACTAACAGAGAAAAACAACACCTAAACTTCCACTCAAACAACACTGAAACCTACAACGCAGACTTCACAATAGACGAACTAACATCGTGCATCTCGGACCTGGGCGATACAGCCCCGGGACCGGATGGCATCCACAACCAAATCATTAGACACTTACCCCCAGAAACACTCACACTCCTACTATACATATACAACGACATGTGGCGGTCGCACTCCTTTCCGGAGTCTTGGCGTCTCGCCACTGTCATTCCAATACCCAAACCAAACAAGGACCACACACACGCATCCAATTACAGACCAATAGCACTAACGAGCTGTCTCTGCAAACTAATTGAAAAAATGATTCACATGCGACTCATGTGGTTTCTGGAAACGACGGGCTCGCTGAGCGGTCTCCAGTGCGGATTCAGGAAAACTCTATCCACTCTGGATCACCTGGTCCGCCTGGAGACCTTTATACGCGAGACGTTCGCTGAAAGAGGCCACATGATCGCCATCTTTTTTTACCTAGAAAAAGCCTTCGACACAACCTGGAAGTATGGCATTCTTCGAGACCTGCACGCACTCGGCATACGCGGTCACCTCCCTGCCTTCATTGGCAACTTCCTGAAGAACCGTTCCTTCCAGGTTCGTGTTGGATCCTCCCTTTCAGACCCCCACCAACAGGAGGAAGGAGTCCCCCAGGGGAGCATCCTTTCTCCTCTCCTATTCGAAATTAAAATAAATTCCATAGTGAAAACCCTCCAAAACAGCATAGACAGCTCGTTATACGTTGACGACTTCTTGATATGCTGCCGATCGAAAAATCCTCATTTGAGATCTATGGAAAGGCAGCTGCAAACGCAGCTGCACAAACTTGAAACGTGGGCAAACAACAACGGTTTCAAGTTCTCCCCGTCAAAGACGGTTGCAGTACACTTCTGCCGAACAGGCAGACGTGTGCTGCAGCCGGATTTGACACTATACGGGGAAAGGATTCCCGTCCGGGACCAAGCTCGTTTCCTCGGTGTCATTTTCGACAAAAAACTTACATTCATACCACACATCAAAGACCTTCGTGTGAGGTGCCAGAAAGCGTTAAACGCTTTGAAAATTATAACGAATCTGGAGTGGGGCGGGGACTCAAAACATCTTCTCCACCTGTACATGTCCCTTGTCCGGTCCAGGCTTGACTACGGCTGTCAAGTCTACGGATCGGCAAAACCTCACGTCTTAAAAATACTAGATCCAATACAGAACCAAGGTCTCCGCCTCGCTCTGGGGGCTTTCCGCACTTCTCCGGTGGAGAGCCTCCAGGCCGAGGCCAACATACCACCACTCTCACTCAGACGCACACAACTCTCACTACAATACGCAGTTAAACAGAGCTCAACACTGGAAAATCCAGCGCACAACAGCATTTTTAAAACAAATCCAGAAACCATAAACAAATTCCAAAACAACGAAAAACTCATCAAACCCTTCGGCCTCAGAATCCTTGAGGACCTCAAAAACTTAAACTTCTCCAAACAAGACATCCAACAAATTATTTTCCCGGACCTCCCTCCGTGGCACCTCACCAAGGCAAAAGTAGACTTACAGCTGACCACACACAACAAACAAAGCACAAACACCAAAACTTTTCAAGCAGAATACAAAAAACTAATAGATAAATACCCTGGTGCGGAGCTCATCTTCACGGATGGCTCCAAAAAAGACAATGAAGTGGGCGCCGCAGCCCTATCTTCCAACAGTACACACCAGAGGAGACTCCATCCTGAAGCCTCCATTTTCTCTGTGGAGGCCACTGCCATTGACATGGCACTGGACTCTGTAGAAAATTCTCCTAACAAATCTTTCCGTATCCTTTCTGACTCTCTGTCTTGCATCACCTCACTCACAAACTACACACTCTTACACCCAAAAATAGTTAGGCTACAACAGAAAATCCACACACTATCCGAAACAGGAAAAAACATCATGTTCGCATGGATACCCAGCCATGTGGGCATCCGAGGAAACGAGCAGGTAGACGACCTGGCGAAGAAAGCTTCATCCCTTCTGCTGCGATCAACGACAAACACTCTCCCACAGACTGACTTTAGAAATAAAGTCAAAAAGTACACCTCCAGTCTGTGGGAGAGCCACTGGGAAAACCAGAAAAATAATAAACTATATGAAATAAAACCCAAACTAGAACAGCGAAATCCTTCGGACCTCTCCAGAAGAGACGAAGTCATTTTTACTCGATTGCGCATCGGACACACGGCCCTGACCCACAAATACCTCCTACAGGGAGATGAGAAGCCGTTCTGTGTCGGATGCGACACAGATTTTACCATTAAACACATTTTAACAGAATGTCTAGACTTTGGAGAGATCCGAAGGAAATATTATAAATGCAAGAAATTGCAGGATATTTTTTCCGTCGTTGTTTCCAGCAGAATTTTAAATTTTATAAAGGCCATTGTGGCGAGTTGTAGAGTGAATTTGATATTATTTAAAATTTTTATTGTTACTAAAAAGAGTTGTTTTAAATCACAAATGTATTTACACTGCATTTAAATATTTTAACTTTTTAGCATTTTAAAGTAAATTAGTTAACCAGTCGTGAAGTGAACTTTTGCAAAGGTGAACAACTTGTGTTTCCCGCGCTCATATGACCTTAGCAGTTGCGAGCGCCGTAAAACTTTATACTATACATACATAATATCTAATGTTATGATCCAAATGTACAAATTTTATGGAATGTATGTAAATAACTGCAAATTTTAAAATATTTTGAGTTTCACCAAAGATTATTAGTTTTATATTTTAAAATTTTATCTGCATCCAAGCCAAATTGTGTTGCATAATCGCCTCTTACTTAAAACCAAAGTTGAAAAATACACAAATAAACATTACAGATGTATTCTACAAACCATACTGAAAATTTTGGTATATAATATGTTGATATTTATTTGAATTTGTGGCCCCAAAAACCTGTGAACTGCGCACTAGTCACCATCTCATTTCACACTCCTGAAAAAAATTAGTCCACTAGCCGAAAATAATACGTAGCTAACGAGTTAAATGAAATATTATTTAAACTTTTAAAAAATGTTTTTAATGCTATACCTCGATCTCCAAGACTTAACATTGATAACTCACTCTATAGAACATTACAGCAACTGCAGCAAATTTGCACTTATCACAACATGGCATTGGACAGAAGGGCGAGGGCCCAGCTGTTGCTGGATGGATAACAACAACAAGCAACAAAATGTTTTTGTTTTGTTTTTGCAGCTGTTGTCCAAAGCCCCCGGGAGTGTGTGCAGCGAGCCGGAGAGGGACGTGCACTCTGAGCAGGACATCCTCGAGTCCTCCCGGGACCTCACAGGTGGGTGGCCCGCTCGTGGTGGGGGTGGGAATTATGTACTTTTGAGAGGGTGGGAGGTTATCTCTCACTTATAAAAACATACCAGCCTCTGTGGTGTAGTGGATAGGCACCTTGCTGTCATAAGCAGGAGATTGTGAGTTTGATTCCTGAAAGTATCCCGACCAGTATCTCTGTCTTTCTGCTGGGATGTTTTGTCACTCTCAGCACGTGTTGGCCCTGACAGGCAGGGTGGGAAGTCTGCTACACCAACATTAAACCTTAAAAGAAAGAACCATCAGTGTTTGCTCGTTCGATAATTTTAAACTAAGCCACTTTAGGTGGCAAATTTACGATCCCACAACAATTTTCTACAAAGCTGCATTTAATGACAAATGTGTTTATGTAACTATACTGAACTGCATTAGTTACGACTGTATGTTTCCACAATGATTTAAAACTGAGCAAATTCACATAAGGCGATGAGTGGGGGTTTCAACTTGTGCTTTTATCCTCTCTCTCTCTCTCTCTCTGGTCAGACCAACTGGCATGCCTGGGCCAGAAGGCGCGCTCTGAAGGTACATGGAGTGAATTTGCCAGGCAGGATTTGTTTGCTGCACGGCTGTTTTGCTTTTTAGAGTTCACTTTGTTGAATGCTGTGTTTGAGTTCTGCGCTTTCATTTTGATTTTGACAAGGGGAGTATACTTTAGTTTTAGATTTTTTAGTTTTACCGCACCTGCAACACAAATGTGTTATAAAATTTGCTGAGGTAGTAAAAACTTACTTTTGTTTTAGTAAATGTTTTAAGACCCTTGCAACACAAATAGGTCATATAAGTGTGGAAGAGTAGATGTGATGAAAAGAAAGAAGAGAGATTAGGAGATATATGTTTGATAGGGAAGAAGGAGCAAACCACACCCGGGCACCTGTCAACCACCAACAATGTATGCTGCACTGTTGATCTGTAAGATGAAGAGCTCGCGATGGGAGAAAAGAGAGGTTGGGGAGGGGGAAGATCACCTTGTCAATTCCAGTGGGTCTGAACTCTGTCCGACAACTGACTAGTTTGTTTGCCAGTAACCTACAGGCAAGGAGAGAGAGAGAGAGCATCACACAGATTCAAACAAAGCAATTTTGTGTTTTTGTCACAGGGCTTATAATTATCAGTAAGTGGGGGGGGGGGGGGGGGGAAGTGTTAATAAAGGAAGGTGTGGTGGAAGGAGAAGGAAGAAAACAGAGCTGTGATGGCTACCCATGCCGAAGATCTTCGAAACACTTTCCCCGCCTAATTTATTAAGATATTAGTACTAGACTTAGGCAGAAATGTGCGCCATCTTTTTATCGATCTGGTGGAATTGATAACTCCCAATTTCATCCAATACTGGATATATTGCCTTTTAGAATAAAAGTCCAGCTCTGAAGGTACCCTGAGTGAAATTGTCGGTGGGTGGTTGGCACACATATTGGAAAGCACATTTTGTTTTGTCACAGTCTTGCAAATGTTCTCTGGTGCTTCGCCCTGCCCAGGCCAGCGTGTCTTGTGTAGTGCTCTTCTGTGCTGTGGCCTTGGCGTGTAGTGTTACTGTGTGTCATGTCATGACGCGTGTAGTACTCCTTTGTGTTGCGTATAGTGTTCCTGTGTGTCATGTCATGACGCGTGTAGTACTCCTTTGTGTTGCGTGTAGTGTTACTGTGTGTTATGTCATGGGGCATTTAGTACCCTTCTGTGTCATAATATGTAGTGTATAGTGTTCCTGTTTGTCATGAGGCATTTAGTACACTTCTGGGTCACATGTAGCGTTTTTTTAAATACTGTTTTTACGTCGCTCGCAACTGCATATGGTCATATGAGCGCCACACGTAGTGTGTAGTGTTCCTGTTTGACATGAGGCATTCAGTACTCCTCTGTGTCATGTCTTGGTGTGTAGTGGTCCTGTGTGCTGTATCTTGGCGTGTCGAACTCCTTTGTGCCACATGTTGTATGTAGTGTTATTATAAATCATATCTTCTTTTGTAAGATGGCTAAACACTTTGCTAGATTAGAGCAGCACTTTGTTATAAATAATTTCAGATACCTGTTAAAAAGTCTATGTGCTGATTTAGGTATCTTATAAAAAGCTGAAAAAAATCAACTTAAGTTACTCCAATTACATTTTTTTTAAATTCCATGCAAAGAACTGCAAAAATCTGGGTAATTAAGAATATAAAATGAGTGTTTATAAATCAGTATGATATTAAGATTTCTGTTTGAAGAACATTCATAATGTATGATTGACATCAGGTGTGGTAAATTTTTGCTTTGCTCCTATTAGTAAGTCAAGTTCTATAATTAACTGTTGGTGGTTTGACACCTCTGGAAGGTACTTATTTTCTTTCCCTCCGTTGTTTTTCACTATCCATCCATCAATCTTATTTTTCCCATGCACTTAGGTACTGCAATCATGTCAGTGTGCTTCTTTTTACTGAAACAAATTGTGTCATGACACAGTGAAATCAGACGCTTGTAAATATTTGGGCCTTTTGTGAGTGTCGCAAGCAATTCACAAAACTCCGTTTGGGTGCTTCTTACACCAAAGACAAAAACTAGGGTTTTTTTTGCATTGTTGTTTGATTCTTTCGAAGAATCGGGAAAAGCAAAAATGTTGTATGCCTTGACCATAGCATTACACTGCATTTTGATGATGTTGAAAGGTGCATCTTTGGTGGAGTTTTGGGAGAGTAAAAATTTTTTTAATTCTCAAAATTTGGACTCAAGTGGATTGCTTGAGGACTGATGATATGGAGTTGTTAGTATAATTCGTTGTCCATCTCACAAAAGGGCGTAAGAGCATTTTTGGCATTTTTCAGGAGAGCGTTTTAAAGTTTTGGGACACTTTTTAAGTTCTTGCTGTGGCGTAACCGTTTGCTTTTTCGTTTAAATTTTTGGCAAGATATTAGTACAACCACTGATTTATCATTCCCTATAACGTTATAGATATTGCGTCATCAGTTTTTTAAGAAATGGTCTAAAATAGCTGATACCCCTGTTTGTGAGAACATAATTATGTCCGTAAAGACACAAGATTGACAATACGCCACATTGTTTGGTAATAGAATATAAGAGAAAAGGGATTTTTTTCTTGATTATTGAACAGGTTTATCAACTCAATATGCCAAATTGATCAATTTTGGGGAGTGAAAGACGACAGGAAAAAGAAAATGGAACAGATTTGGGGTCTCCACGATATGAAATGTAAATAACTTAAAGAGTTAAGCTTTCTTACTTGTCTTCAAGGTATTATAAGAATTTGCACAATACAATGAGTATAAAATTACTAGTACTGCACAGATCCTTTCATTCAGGACTGCGCACCATCCTTAGACAACAACAATATTAGTAGAAAGATAAATTCTGAGCATGTGTAATGAATATGTGTAATACCTTATAAACGTTTTAGCCCATAATACTTTGTTTATCAATGAAATATTGTGCAAGTGTTTGTTAAGAAAGATAAATGTGGCAGATTTGGATTAGAAGAACATTGTGTGTTCCTCCAGCCTGATGAAAAGGTGTACTTGGCTATAGGGAGTTTTTTAGGCTGTTCAATGGAACGTCTTTGACTTGATTTTTCTGGGGCTTAAAGATCACTGTTTGGTACTGTGGGTTTGTAGGAAATAAATAGTTATTGAATAGTCTCTGTTGAGCCTGTTCCATAATATCACTTCAGTTTGTGATTATATTGCAGCTGAAAGTATCTTCTTTAAGTTTCCTCACTTTGGCTTTTCCGTGGATGCGATTGTTCAGCCTTTGTTTTGTCTCCTCTTCACTTCAGGTTTGAGAGTTAGTCCTTTTAACTGGAAACTGACCTACAGCAGTGATGTGAGTCAAAAGCGGGGAAGCTCGCAATATGAGCATTAATAAGGGTGGGAAGTTTTTCATCTCTTTCTTTGACAGTTGCTGGGTATCATCATCCTCTTTATTCTACTTCAATAGTTTCAGCTGATATTGTCTTACAGATGGTGGAATTCCATCGACAGTCAAGTAATATGTATTGGTCTTCTGTCCGTGAGAACAGCTCGTCCCTTTCATAGATTCAGAGCAGTCAATGTGACCAACGACAAACTCACGTTATAGATAATGGTCTTCAAGTCTGTAATATTGCTGGAACATTTCCTCGTGTGTTTCATTCGCAATAGTGTGACAGCTTCGACCATATTTCTTATAGCTTTCAAATTCATACTACCTGTCTCAAATCCTGTGCGCGCCAAAATGTGTTGCCATTATAGGGCTAAGGAACTCATCTCCAAAATGTCCTTTGTGGTTAGCTTCTTTATACTTATTGGACTGTGGACCTTTCTGAGCAGTCACTTCTTTGACAGCACCTTCTGTCATGAAAATTGAGTACAATATCCAACGACATCCGGGTTATTCTCTTCTGGCTTTATCCGTTTTCTACTCATGATGCTATGTGGCTTTTTTTAAAGACTACCATGAGCCTGTTTCTTCCACAAAGTGACAGTATGTATAGCACAGGAGCAATACACACCTTCAACAAGCTGCAAACATGTCCTTCTTGCATGGCGCAGAAACCAGGTTGGAATGGAAAGACGGGTCAGCATCTAAATCGTCAATGTAATCAGAACTTTCTGCAATACCACATCTTTGGGGACTCATGGACCCAATTAAAACTTTTACTTGTAGAAAATATTTTTAAAAGTGAATGTTTATAAGCTTACAAATGAGCTAAGGCACTATCACTTTATGGGTACATGAACATCAAACGCTGAAAGCAAAGATGAAATTTAAAGCACAGGTACGAAAAACAACACTGTCAACTTAAACTAATGGTAGGGAAGCGTATAAAAGTCCCTCAATGATGCAGCGAGAAAGAATCGCAAGACTACTAAACATGAAATGAGATGCATCCCCCTCATTTACAAGTAAGAAAACAAAAGGAAACATCTTATACCATGGCGTATGAGGTCACATGCCTCCGTATATATTCTCACAAAGGGGCGTAAGAAGGCATACGCCTCTATGTGAGATGCAGTTTCCTGCCCGAGAGCTATAGGGCTAAATGTTTTTTGCTCATAACTCCACCATTTTTAAAGCTATCGATACGCCGTTTTGAGAGAAGATAGATCTCACTACCGGACATACCATGGTGGTGTTAACTCAAAACCGGTAATTTTGACGATACGCCCTTTTGTGAGATGGGCGACGAATTGTAAAGCATGTTCATTTCTTTAGTCTGTAGATGGTTGATCGCCATTCAAAGGTCCACCTCTTTCTTTTCCAATTTTGTTTCTGTCTGTCGATCATGCTTTTTACGAGTGTTAAGTGAATGTTGTTTCTCCTTGCTCACACTCAAGAAGTATTTCCTTATTGGTGGTTTCCTGGTGCCTTGGTATGGTTGACTCATTGTTTCCTATCAAGCATCTATCGTCCTTATCTTTCATCATTCTTTACTTTTACTCTCTAGGAACACCTCTAATCTTCAGCACTTACATGATCTAATTGTGTTGCAAGTGCTGCAAAATGCTTGCTAAATCATTTTTGTTACTCTCTTGTCACACCTCATCTTTGGCACCCGTATGATCTAAATAATGTTGAAAGTGCCACCATGAAACTCTTACTAAAGCTTTTTTAAAAACTTGGCTTCCTTTCTTTAATTTTGTTTTTATGCCATGAAACTCATTAAAACTTTAAAAAAATGATTTCCTTTCTTTAATTTTGTTTTTCCAGTGGACCTAGATCTGAATGACACAGCCCAAGCCTTTGAGCTGACGGCACAGTTGAACAGACTTCAGCATCTCCGAGAGCGACAGGTCAGACCCAATATATGTCTTTGCGTCATGGTTTCTATATTTTTATCCTATTGTTTTTCACTGTTTGCTTTTGTTTTGTTCTTCATGTCTCTTTGCTTCATAATAGATTCTATTTTGATCTTATTGTTGAACATTTTTTGCTTTTGTTTTCTTCTTCACTTCTCTTCCTCATGGACTATTTTTATCTTCTCTCTCCTTCTCCTGCGTTTCTTCCTTCTGCTCTGTCTTCCTCCTCCTCCTGTATTTCTTCCTTCCTGTCCATCTTCCTCTTCCTGCATTTTTACCTTCTGTCCATATCTTCTTCATGCTTCTGTGTTCCTTTCTTCTATTCTTATTTTCCTCCTCTTGTGCCTTTTCTTTTCCTTCTTTTCTACTCCGTACTTCTGCATTCCTTCTTTCTACTCCGTCCTCCACCTTTTTCTTCTACTATCCCTATCTACATCAAGTTGATTGCCTAGAGCCATCAAGGAGTGGGCACTGTTGAAGTTATATTTATTATGTCTTCTTCATATTACCAAGTCGTTAGTTAGTTGGGGGTTGTTCTGGTGCGGTTTAACTCCTTCTTTCTTATCAAACATCTGTCGTCCTGATCTCTCCTCCTTTTTTAAAATGTGTTTGTCACTCTCTTGAAACAACCTCTAATCTTTTTCACTTATATGTCCAAATTGTGTTGCAAGTGCCGAAAAACTTTTTAAAAACTTTTTTAAAAATCATCTAAATTGTGTCTGTAGAGGCATAAAACCACCTACATTTTAAAAAAAAATGATTTTAAAAACTAGGAAGAATGTTAATAATAGTTATTAATAAACATAAGAAAGAATTATTATGCGAAAAATAAGAAAAGAATGATCATAAAAATGTAAAAAATAAGGTTGTGAACCGCCATGATATGTGGAAAAGTGAAGTGCTGAAAGTTTTCATTTTTGTATTGGCTTGCAGGGGATGCAAAGACGCGCGTACCCCGGCCTCAACATGGACAACTCTGAGCAGCCCAGTGCCAGCCAATCGGGTGAGGCTCTGTCTGGCCACCTGTCCGACTTCATGAGCGACAACGGGGTCATCAGCACCCAGGGCCTCTCGGAGATCTCACACCTGCTGGCCGTCTACAGGTAGGGAGGAACAAATGTTCTTTCTTCTTTCTCCTTTGCGTTCACCACTTGTCGTACTTTATCTACTTTCTTCATCTACTCTTAAAACTTAAAAACCTCACAGATTTCTGTAAAAATTCGGAAGATTGATAGAACTCTCTCTTCTTCCTTCCTCTGTACTTTACTCCTGACTCTTTCTCCTGCAACTCCTTCTTACTGCCGTCTTTCAGCCACACCTCTGATCTTAGGGTGGGTTCTATCGAACCCCCTAGCCTTCTCAGATAAGCCCAAGGGCGAGTAATCTTGGAAGTTCCGAGTGCAAGTTCGCTCATTAAAGATCCCTTTGTGGTCCTAAAATTGATAACAGTAGGCTTTGGCCCCCACTGGGCAAAATTCAAAGTTCATTCCTAAAAGAAAAATACTTTATAGTCATTTAAAAAAATAGAGAGTAACACTGGAGTCAAAATGTGGCTGTCTGAAGACTAGGGGCCCTACTAAGTAGGAAAAACGATCACATGTAAATGTCAGTTGCACTATAGGTTTAAGAACCAGCATTCGACTGCCCCTGAGATCTAGCAGGGAAATGCAAAAAAGAGTCGGACTCATTTTGGTAGTGCAGTCAAAATTGTCAGAGAGGGCCACCTGTTGTTGAGGAGAAAAGTGGGAGTCTTAGACTTAGACAGATGGAAGGTCTTGAACAGTTGCAATATTATATCTAAACATTACGCAAGTGGGAAGTGGCCATTTTTATAGGTGATTGTCTTGGACAGGTGGCTGTTCCCGCAGGTTTGACTACCTGTAATTTTTTTTTCTTTTATATATTTGTAGTCCAGAAAAGCTGCAGATTTTTTCAGATGAGATACAGTCCGACCTCCTCTCAGAGCCACCTGTATACGACAATCACCTGTACAAATGGCCACTTCCCATTTCCTCCCTTGCACATTTTTTACATTATAATGACACTGTAAGACGACCACCTGCGTAATTTAGCCACCTGTCTTCTCAACAATGGATGGCAGTCCTAGATTGTAACAACTATATTTTGTTTCCGTCATCCCTCACCTACCTGTATGTTTGACATTTTGTAGGGATCAATGGGAGACAAATCCGGACCAGGCGGGCCAGGAGAACGTGGCGGGTCAGCTGATGGATGCCCTCAAGGGCATGGCTTCCAGCATGAGGTGAGAACAGGATACCCTCGAATAATTGTTTGCACAATATCTTCCGCAAGCTGTTTGAATGTTCTTAGCCCAGAAACATCTATCATCCTGTTCTCTCCCCCTTCTTTTTTTTTGTTTTCGTTACTTTCATGTAAAACTTCTAATCTTCTACACTTATATGATCGTATTGTGTTGCAAGTGCTGTAAAACATTAACTTAAAGTAAAAGTAAAAGCGAATGGAGATATTTAGTGAAAATCAACGTAGAGGTCAAATTTGTTCATTTACAACTGATCCATTTTTCTTCCAAGTTTTACATTTTCTTTAGACTAGCCCAGGATAGGGAAAGGTGAAAAGTGTTCATTCGTGGCCTATATCTTGATCCAGGGTGAGAAAGGCAATGGTGATGATGATGATGATATTATTCAAACTCTACCTACAAATTTCACAGGTATCTCCAAAGGCAAAAATCTGAGAAGTAACTCATTTTGCCAGCACACCTCGAATATCTTTTCTTGTATTTACTCAAAAGTTAAACGGGTGTCTTCTGCTATTCTGCAATCGTTTTTTAAATTACAGTATATGTGTCATAACGCTGTGGAATCAGGCGCTCGTCAATATTTGGGCATGTGGAGCTATTGCTATCATAAGATAATAAGGAAGTTATTATCAAAGTTGTGTTGTGAAAAACATAGACTTGGAATGTTTGCAAAAAGTTTGTTTTCTTTGTAACAACATTCTGTTTTTTCGGCTCTTTTGTAAAATTGTAAGAACTGCCTATGCTGTATTTTTTTCAATGACGGCAGTATTCATGTTCTCGGATTTGTGCTCTTTCTTTGTTTACACATCAGCAAAACGGGTGAAACGTCAAAACAAGATGAACGGAAAGTTCCAATGTCCAAAAGTTCGCCCAAATCTCACCCAATGCGAAAACCAAAAGAAATCTCAAAGGTGCGGAAAGTCAGGAACACCTCACAGGTAAGTCTTTGATTGTGCAACAGGTTTTTTTTGTCTGTGAGGGGTATGAGTGTGAGAGTGTAATTATGGTTGGGTTTTTTTAGAGGGGGGGGGGGTTGTTTTTTGTTTTGGTCAGTGTTCACTGTCAGCGCGCTCACATGACCTTATTGCGAGCTCCGTGAAACTCTTACTAAACTAAAACTAAAAACTCGTAACTGATTCCAGTAAGCATTTTTAGTTTGGTAGGAATTAATTTTGAATTTTTGCGAGTGGCGGCCAAAGCCCACTTTATCTATTTTAGGACCACGGAGAGATCTTTTGATGCAACTTGCATTTTGGACCTCTGAGATTTTTCCGCTCTTACCAGAGAAGGCTAGTTGTTAGATCTTACCTACCCTTAGACCAGGGATGTGTGCTAAAAGACAGCTGTAAGAAGGAGCCAGGACTAGCAGTAGAAAAAGTCCGGAGCCTAGAGAGAGGTGAGGGGGGGCAGTAGAAAGACTGCAGTCAGGAGCCCAGAGGTGGGGGCAAACAAGATGGGGGGGGGGGGGGTGTAGAAAGTGGAGAGGAAAGTAGATGATGTGTTAAATGTGTATTGACTGCTTGGGGTAAGACTCCGTAATGTGCCGCCTCCAAATGTGATGTATAACAAGAGTCTAACTCTGAGCAGTTGGTATGAAAATGTTCAAACGAGTAAGTTTTCCGGCATTATTTGCAATTTTGACTCCGACTCAAATTATTTCGCCGGCCAGGTTTCCGGCCAAACATCTCCGGTTTTCTGGTGAAATTTACTCTTTTGACAATATAAAGTCGGAAGTACGAACTAGATAAAAGACAATGCATTTTCTGCCACCATTTGCATTTCCCTATGGTTATTTACGAAGGTGTACGCATCAAATGAACTGAGCGAACCGAGCCTTAGGGAAATGCAAATGGCGGCTGGAAATGTGCCATCTTTTTCCTAGTCACAGCGTACAAATACAGCTCTTTTAGTTGGCTCGGCGATGGAGTGACCGGGTCACGGCGGACCGGTCACCCAGAGGTCACTAACCCGACCTCCCGCTACCTGCATCGGTAGCCGGTGAAATGAATTTTTCAACACATGTTTTATCGTCTTGCACAGACAAAAAATATCATACATGAACACAAGTTTGTTCTTTAGAGAAAGCAACTAAACTTCTTTATTGGTACGAAATAGCAATACCATGGCAGCTCACGTTTTGGAGTTAGATGCTCTTAAAATGTATGTCTATTTGACAACAAACAACAAACACATATTGAGTGGCTAATAACTTATAAGCCTAACAATAAATATTTATAAAACTGCCACGTAAGACAGGAAAATGTGTTTAGAAATTGACTCACTCAAAATTTAGTTTCCAGCACGAACATGGAACTTGTCATGAGCATGATAGCCAAAACGCTTCCCTGCATTCATGACGTTTTGTATCCAATGGAATGTGTATCCTCCTGAATAATCATATACTGACGTATCTTCAATATACAGCACCGATTTCTTTTCACAAAATGAACATGTACAGATAAAAGTATAAATTTAAACAATTTTTCTTTCTAAACATATCCGGCAGCACGCAATGAGGGAGCTATTTGCAGGAGATGCGACACAAAAATAAAACGCATTATGTCTATCTGGTTTGAGATCCTTTGTGCTCTGGCTTCCAGTTTTGAGATCGCTTGGTGGCTGCTTTCTGTGTCCTGTTCTCCCAAAAGCCCGAGAGCAAACATGTGTTGTTGTATGTGTGGAATATAGTGTTGCTATGATATGTGTTGCTTTTGGGATAACTTTGCCGGGAAATAGCGTCTGAATGCGGCCATAATATGTAATTGTCGATAGCTACGGAGATTTCTGGAAGTGAGAATTGTTTGACTGGTTTGAGATGTGACATTGCAGTGTGAACATGGCTAAATCTTTCATTGAGAAGATTGAATATTGCTTCCAGTCCACTAGCTTCCTCAATTTTTGCAGTTTCGCGGGAGTATTTTCTTGTTTCTGTATAAATTGTGTTTGTTAGTTCCTTGCATACGTGGGGATGGAGGGAGGTATACTTAAGGTGTTTTGCGATGTTTGCTTGAAATGGATCTTTGTATGCAGCCAGCCACCCAAGCGGTGCCGACAAAACGGAGAAGGAATTCACATTTATGCTATTGTCAAACGCTCACCACATGTTCCTACTGGTGTCAACAGCTTTTTTTGCGGCATAAATTGACGTGACGTAACACCATATCTCCTTTTGATAGATGAAATCGCGGTAAAACACTTGACACAAACGTTAGCGGAATACGACTGTTCATTTTCGTCCCTCACATCAATCCCATATATCAAGAGAATATCTCCTGACATTGTCTTACATAATCGGGGCTTTCTGTACTTTTTTGTTTGACAGTTAAATTTAAACGCCAACAAACCCGACAATGTTCATTCAGAGACTCTATGCCTCTCATATGTGTGACCCATTGCAGTTTAACAATTTTTACTTAGGAACACAATTACAATTCACTAACTGATTGCCAGTCACTGCAAAGTGCTGGAAAAACAAAATTCACATCATTAGAAAATATGATTTGATGGCTATCACACCGCGCAAACAGAAATAAACTCCATTGTTTCATTTTGGAATGATTTGTAATTAAATTTGAAGAGATCACATTATTAATGGCACTTCCGATCACTTAACACTCACAATTTAAAACTGTTATTATTCCCAAACGAATTAGTGAAAACTGTTGAAACTTTCACAAGATACCAAGAAGACGTAGACGAAGCGAAATTGGTGAAGAAGTAGATTCTAGGGGTAGAGTGAGCATCATTTTACGGCTCATGAAATTAGGGGAAGAAACGCGTTCTGATAAGAAGATAAGACAACGCTGTGCACGAGTTGACCCCGGTCAATCCCCGACTTGACGCGTGAAATTGCAGGTCACCTGCCGGTGATTTATGGCCTACCGCGGGGGGCCCGGACTAACTAAAAGATCGCTGAGATGGAATTTTGGACGCCGTGTAGTTCGCATTTCCGTTCTTATATTGCCAAAGTAGTTAATTTTGTCACCACATTAGCCAATCATTGTGTCACTGGTGTGCTGTTTTGCGCTGTTACGATCCTTCTGAGTGCTCTTTCAAAGATGAGCTCTTGTTTCTGCTGGAAAAGTTTAAAAAAATTATTTATTAGAAGCTTGAATGTAGATCTAGTGCTGTTTCATAGTTTTTGACTTTTGTTTCTACCAGGGAAAGTTTTTTTTTAAAATCAGACAGAACAAGACTAAATCTAGATCTATTTGTGTGTTTAATTGTGACTGAGTCAATATAGTTTGCAGGTGTTTTGCCCCGAAAAGATGCCTCACATTACTTACAATCCTCATGCTCGTGGATCTCAATATCTGAGAAGGCTGAAGTGATACCCAGTTGATGTACTCTCTGTTTTCAAAAGACAATATAGACATTCTTTTTGATCTGATATTTTATTTTTCAAAGCTGAAAATGCCTCCAGATGGCTGTTTAGAAGCCTTAGTTTTTCAAAATTTCTCGGGGGGGGGGGGATGCCCCAGGACCCCCCTAATTAGACCCTGAATATTGTTCCACTTATAAATTCCGTAAGTGGATGCTTTGAACTATTGCTGGTGGTAGAGTGGAAGCAGCCTGCCTCCTGAATGACTATGACAATCTTTATTCATCTCGCAGGGGAGAAATTTGTCTTGTTTTAGTAAGAGTTTTACGGCACTTACAACACAATAAGGTCAAATAAGTGCCGAAGAATAGATTATGTGTTACAAGAGAGTAACATGCACAAAACAGAAGGAGGGGAGATGTTTGATAGGAAAGAAGGAGCAAACCACACCAGAGCACCCGCCAACCACCCAAATTTGTCTTGGTCGTTAACAATGGCAGTAGATGTTACAAAGGTTAGATGCACTCACGCATGCACTCACAACAAGACATGACATTAGTAAATACGTGACACTGTCAAAAACATTCTCTCTCGCTCTGTCTCTCTCTCTCTCTCTCTCTCTCTCTCTCTCTCTCTCTCTCTCTCTCTCTCCAAGTGTGCTGATGGAGGCCTTTGTTCATTTGCAATGACTTTATACAACAGTTACAGTCTAGCAGTCACACAGAGAAATGGCCAGGACATGCAAATCTTTTCGTTACCTATAAATTTAGCTGTGTATGTGTTTTGAATATATACAGAAGTGGGTGGTTAACGGGTGCTCTGGTGTGGTTAGCCCCTTCTTTCCTATCGAACATCTGTAGTCCTAACTTCTTTTTTGTGATTGTTACTCTCCTGTAACACCTCTAATCTTTGGCACTTATATGATCTTATTGTGTTGCAAGTGCGGTAATACTCTTACTAAAACTAAAAGAATGTTATTGTTGTTGTTGTTGTTATCGATCCAGCAACAGCTGGGCTCTCGCCCTTCTGTCCAATGCCATGTAGTGATAAGTGCAGGTCTGCTGCAGTTGCTGTAATGTTCCATAGAGTGTGTTGTCTATGTTAGGTCTCGAAGGGAGAAGGGTAGCTTTGATGTCATTTAGGGCTGTGCAGTGGAACAGGTGATACTCCACAGTCTCATATGCATAGCCACACAAGGGACACATAAAAGAATGTAAAGAATATAATGTACAAGACAAAAATCAGAGACCTGAAAATCTATTTGCTGTTTGTATGCTTGACTGTAGAATCCAATCAAGAAGGCTCTATGGTTGGTTGGCAGGTGTTCTGGTGTGGTTTGCTCATTCTGTCCTATCCAACATCTATAGTCCTTTTCTCTCCTTCTTTTTCATATTTGTTACTCTCTTTTAACCTTATATAACCTTATTGTGTTGTAAGTGCCGTAAAACTCTTGCCAAATTAAGGAGGCTCACCACCAGTGTTACTATCTGTCCTGCCCCTCCTCCCTTGCCCCTTCCCTCCCTGCAGTCGGCAGACACGAGTGTGACGGGAGACAGTGCTGGCTCTGACAAGTCTATGGGTAGCAGCCGACCGCCAGGCCCCGCCATGGCTTCGTCGAGAAAAGTCCCGCAGCCACAAGAAACGACTAACACCACCGGCGTCACTGCCGCCAGCCGAGAGAGGAAGGTCGCCGGGGGCCGGCAGCCTAAGAGTGGTGGTGGGGGGCCAGTCTGGAAGTGAACATTTTGAGGGGGAGAGGATGTCTCCAGTGGATGGAGGGGAGGGGAAGAGTATTTCTTTTGTGGATGGAGGGGGGGGGGAGAGGAGAGATATTCTTGGAGTGGTGATGGACCTCCCCGCTTGGAGGTAAATGGGGGGGGGGAATTATTCCATCTATGGATGGAAAGAGGGGAGATAAAGGAGAGAATATATCTTCAGTGGATGGAAAGAGGAGAGAGGAGGGGCCAAATATACCTCCTACGTTGTGAAAACATTTGTCTGTGATTCAAAAGTGTTGTTGAAAAATAGTACTTAAAAATTATAAGAAAAGATGTGATATTTTAGAATACCACTGAGCAGTGAAGCTGAGTTGGCCACTGTATGTGTGTGCACAGATTTTCTTAATTGACTTCTTGTAAAGAGAAACAGGTGGCTTTGGATATGGGATTTTGCATTCCTTAGAATGACTTGATTTTTCCGCCCCAAAGAGTTTTTTATTTGTTTTCTTTTCGTGCCAGGGTTCCCCCAGAAGCTGGATGAGAAGCCTGCCTCCTAAATGATCTAAATTGTGTCGATGGGGGTGTAAAAGCACCCACATTTAAGAACTAACTGTTTATGCTCTCCCAGTGGGCGTGTGATTAATCGGATACTGTGGAGAAATATTTCCTAGATCTGGCAGACAATCAAAATGTGTGTTTACTTTGACAACCGAGGTTTGAACTGTGTAAGTTTGTGTGTTGGTCAGTTTTCATCAGTTGCCTATTATTACATTTTTAAAAATTCAATTTTTAGAAATTTAGTTTTCTAAACAAAATTATACCGTGAATTTGGTACAAGTGACTGGTACACTTGGGGTTTTTAGGCTGTTGGGATATGGTTTTCGCTGGGTGGTACATCATCGTATACTGGTAAACATTGAGTCTCTGATGATCACAGATTGAAATGGAATGTGTTCCTGCGGGCCTACTTCATTTTTATCTATTTTTGCGTTTTTCTGGGGCAAAGAAAGCCTGGCAATTTTGTTGTCTATACTGCGCCAGGTTGCCGGAGCGGATAATTTTCACCGTCGCAGCGCAGCGCATTATTGCGCCGAGTGACCGCAAAGTGTTAATAATGATCATGATAATGGCAATAATGCAGATCATATCTTAGAGCCTGTACAAACGAATCGACTGTTTGGTGTAAGACTGCTGTATGTCATTTTGAAAAGTGACGTATGACAGAGTATTAGCTCGAGAGGCCGACAGGTAGGAAACTAGGACAGCTCATTCCGATGTTTCTTCCTTCTATTTACTGGGAAAATAAACACTGTTGAAATTCTCGAACAAATAATCTTATTCAGAATAACAAAAAAAATGTGTAGGTGGAAGACTCAAGATCAACCTTTTTGTTTTTTCTGTACTTTATATACCCTCTCTCTTGGCTGCCTGACATTTCACATTTTAGTGTTGAGTTGGAACTTTTTTTAAAGTGAAAATGAAAAAAAAAAGCAACTCTGATAGTGGTATTAATTTCTTTTTTTTTTTTTTTTTTTTTAAAGAAACTATTTGGGCCTTCCCCCCCTCCCCCATTTCATCAAGTTGTGGTGTCAAGTCAGCGTAATGTGAAACTGTTCTGCCTTAGATGTCCCTTTGAAAAACTCTGTGATAGACGTGCGGGAATTGTTTTGGCACGTGTAGTTTTCTTCTGTGCTTTAGCTTGTGACTTGTTTCATCTTCGCTTCCTCACCTCTTTGTGGGTTGTGGATAGATGCTGTGGTATGGTTTGCTCCTTCTTTATCAATCTTCTATAGTCCTCTTTGTATGTTGCTCTCTAGAAACACAGCCTCTAATCTTTGGCATTTGTATGACCTATTTCTGTTGCAAATGCCGTAAAACTTTTACTGTAAGTATCCTGGCCTCTCCTGTGGAGTTCTGGTTTTTTTGGTGTTTTTTTTGTGTGTTGTCATGTTTATGCTCATGGATATGTCTTGTTTTGTGTTGTGTGTTGTGATGTGAGCACTATGTCTGTCATTTTAAAAGTTTTTGTTTAGTGTGTGATGTTTTTAACACTGCCCGTAAGTGCAGTTTTGTTAAGTGTTCTTTGAACAGTGTGCCTAAGTGTGTAGTTTTATCTGCGCCCCCTCCCCTTCCCCCTCCCACCTCCCGCAACTGTGTAGGGTTGTGTTCTGTGATGTGAGCCAGTAGTGCGGCTCAAAGAGTTGTGAATAAAACTGTGACTTGTTCTAGAATGTTCTGATCACTGCCATACACAGCAGAAAGACCATTTCCTCAGTTAGCTGTTCAGTTGTACTAAGCCCGAAATTTTGATTTTTTTTTTCATTGATGGGAATATGCTGCTGATATTTCTATCTTGGAATGAGGGCCTTTCGTACTTGGCTTAACATTGAAATTTCTCATTTGGTGGTATAGAGATTGAGAAAAAAGATTCAACACTCACATTTTTTACCGTCCTTACCCGTCAGAGGCAAGTAATGGTCGCAAAATGACGAAAATTCATCAATTGAGAAGTTTATTGCTCAATTAATTGTACACAATCTTCTTCAAATTTTGTGAGGATATAAAACAACTAAGATCTAAATCCCTACAACAAGGATTTTCAATTAAAGCAATTTCAAAGATGTTACGGCTTCTACACTTTACTGTACACACAGTAATGACAGTTTAAGGGGGTAAGGCTGTTAAAAAACAGTTTTCTTAAAAAAGTTCTTTACAAGTCAAATTTTCCTGTTTAACACTTTGCCATCATATTTAGGGGAAAATCCAAAGAAACTGGGTAGTAAACATCGCCAATCGGTGAGATGAGGCGGCAAAGTGTTAATGATTGTACATAACATCATAATAGACATGTGTACAAAGTTTCATCCAAGCGACCCATTTATGTAAGGAAGAGAACTTTCTTTAGTATACTATAACTGATCATATGATGAGGTGTAGAAATAGATGAACAATCGAAATTCATCAAAATTGAATATTCAATGAAAATTCAATTTTTGACCCCATTTCCCACCCGCATATCCCCTTAAGGAAATACTTTGTAGAAATTCAAATTCTAAATGTAAAATAATACAGAAAAGACGCATAATGTAGGTACAACTGTTAAAAGAAGGAAACTTTTTCTCTCTTTCTCCTGAAACATTTTCCTCACTGAGCTAAAAACATTTGAATAGCTTGCTGACGATTTCTTTTTCCACCTCTGAAAACTGTAATGCGAATATTGATAGGCAAGAAAGATGTTTGAATGAACTAATTTATGTATGTGCGTTTGTAGAAAAGGTTGTGAAAGAAATTCATGTGTGTTCAAGAAAGCTTTTCGATTACTGCATGCACGTGTAAGAAAAGTGTTCAAATGAATTTGTTTGTGTCAGAAAATCTGAGAAAGTGTTTGCTTAATCTATATATGTATGAGTGAAGGAGAGGAGCAAGAAGAAAAAACAAGGCAAGTTTAAAGAAAAAATAAGAGAAAGAATGAGAAACGAGAGAAAGAGACAGGCGGACTGAAGAATTATATGCTGTGGAAAAAAATCTCTCAGATGTGATTTATTTACAATGATTTCCATGATTTGAGTTTTGCTACTCTGTTCTTTGGAATACTTAAATAACTTATGCAGCATTTTTTCATATAAACAGTCTAACATGGTCATAGAAAAATTTCTATATTATAACAAAAAGAGTTTTAGGCCCCTATTTTTTGTTGTTAATCTTGTATATATTGAATATTCTTTGTATTCAAAACACTTGCATAGGAAAATGTGTGCATAACGAAATGATTTCTTAGTCCCACTGGTTTCACTGTGCGCATGTTAGACTGTGATGTATTTACTTACATCATGTAAGTCTCCACAAAGTTTTTTGAGTTGACAGAAATAGTGGTTGAACTATCACTACTATCAGAAAGAGTTTTATTTTGTTCATGCTTATCTCACTCTAGTCAGACTTTTGACAAGAATGATTATAGTATGACTAAGATACTGTGTTCATCACATTTAACTCATTCTCCACTGCATGTAGCATTTTAAGGCTAGCGCGACTCGTGTTTTGCAGCTTTGAACCGGACTTCACTGTTCGGCAAATTTGTAACTCACTTAATCTGTTATCGACAGAGCACAGGTCAACACAGCTGGAAGAAATCGGTTGAAGAAATTATTGATATCAAGACGTGCCCCACTTTTTAATAATTTGGTCAGCAATCTAACAGTCGGTTCCAACAGTTTGAGTATTGATTATTATTCGGTGATGGACTACGAAAACTCTTGGGCAAAATTTATAAATACAGTCGACTCTGCTTGTGTTCATCTCGCTTGTGTTGATCTTTGGTTAAGCTGAGTTTTCTCGGGTCCCAGCACCTTTTCTTCTTTACAGGTCCCAACGGTTAGGTTGAACTTCTGATGATTTGATCTATTTTTCCCTCCCCCGAGGACATCAACTCTTCCATAGTCGACTGTAATATTAAATTTCACTCATTGAGTGCCTTTCCACAAAGAAAGTGCTCAATTCACTTAACAATGGTACAAAGAAGAGGAGCATCATACTGTTCTAAAAAGTGATTCTCTCTCTCTCTCTCTCTCTCTCTCTCTGTCTCTGTCTCTCTCTCTCTCTCTCTCTCTCCTCTTCCTCTCCCACTATAAATGAATCTCTCAATAATAATTAGTTTGAACTTGAACAAAAAGTTTTATGAGAACAGCTCAGGGTCATTTTGTCCATACACGTTATATCTGTGGTGGTTTGACTTATCCGGGGGGTTGTTTTTTTTGTTTGTCTGCTACCCCTGGGACTGTGCTCGGATGTAGTAAGTAGGATTTTGAAAGGATGTTTAGCTAATTTTCTTTAAAGAATGTTCCCATGCTCGTTCATATGGCCTTATGCAGTTGCGAGCACCGTAAAACAATTATCAAAAACAAAAAAATAAAAAGATTGTTCTCATTAAACTGAAAGTAAAACGATCTTCCAGTTCATTGCCTCATAACTATTTTGTTCAAAGTGCTTCTTTACTCAAGTACACTTTGGACAAAACAGTTCTGAGGCGCGGAGTTGTGTCTGTGTCAGTGGGGTGAAGGTTTACTAGTGGAGAACACACTACATGTAATGGTCTTGAACTGGGACAATAAATTTGTTTTCTTTATAACCATCCTATGAAATAATCTACGCAAAACGTGAAGTGTGAAGACTACAAGGGAGAAGACTGTAGAGTCACATTTAGGTGATTTTGAGAAATGTTAGGTATCAAGTTTGGAATGTGGGTGGGTGGCTGGCAGGTGCTTTCATGTGGTCTGCTTCTCCTATCAATGATCAAACATCTATTGCCCATATCTGTCCTACTTTATTTCTTTATATGTTTAAACGTTACTGTCTAGTATCCCTTCTAATCTTCAGCACACCTAATTGCATTGCAAGTGCTGTAAAACTCTAAGCTAAACCAACATTGTTTTATAGTTTGGGAATCTCATATCTTTAGGGTGTAAAATTTTCCTCTTTTTTTGTTGTTGTTTTCTTTACATGGACTCAGCCATTTTTCTGCCTTGTGTGTATGTTATGTATGACAGTAGTGTTATAAACCCTTTCTCTTCCCCATGGAATAGAACTCTACAAAAAAGAGCTCAAAATAATTTAAAATAATGTGACTGCCATTTTTTGTCCCCTTGTAGTCTTCGTGTATGCATTGATCATCATAATACATTGTGGAGATTTGTGGAAGGGGGAGTTGAGAATGTTAGAGGAGGAGAAGATGATGCCATCAAATGCACACGTTTCGTGACATGAAGAGCCTGGGGTGTCGCTACCCTAGAATTGCATCGTTTTAGCTGCTCAGTTCCTAGTTTTGAAAAGAAATCGGACGTCAAATATTTTGATTTTCACAGCATGGTCAAGTTTTTTGGAATGCAATTGTTTGAATATCGTGATAACGACTCTGAATAATCTTAAGATTTTGTGAGAGCAGATAAAACATTTGGTTTCTTGGCTCATGGTCTTAGTAACTCAAAACGGCCAAAAATGTCAGATAGAATTTTGTAGTTCTGAGTTAGCGGCAGTGTGTTGTTGTGACATTCAGAGCTTGCTTGACATGTGTTGTTTACACACATTCTTCTGTGACTGTGTGCCAGAATTTGTACAGCTTTATTTTAGTTTTATTTATTGTTTCTAAAAACACATGTGTGCATTGTTATTAGATCTGTCTGTAAAAAAGTGAGATGTGTACATAATTTACATAAATGAATATACATAATATATATATAAAACATTTTCTATCTAAATTGTGTGTCTTCATGGTCCGCATGGACCCAAACAAGTGAAAATAAAATCTTGACTTGATAACAACAAATGTGATGAGTTCTGATTTTTACAATCGACGGCGCTTTGGTTGATCGTCGGTTAAGTTGATCTTTTTTGTCGGGTCTCAGGACCTCTTCTTGTTTACAGGTCCTAGCGGTGACATTTTTAAACTTCGGATGAGTTAGGTTTTTTTCACTCCCCTGACGACATCAACTAATCCGTAGCCGAGTGGAACAACAAATTTACTGGGCCTTGTTTTGTGTACTTTGTCACGTTTGTTTTAGTAGAGTTTTTACGGCGCTCACAACTATACACATAGATGTACACTATACGCACTATTAAAAGGGGGTAACTCTATGCAACTATATAAGGTCATATGAGCGCCAATGTGTGGATGTCAACAGAGAAGTTCTTATAGAGAATCAGACTTACTCTACTCACCTCTTTTGCTTCAAAAGTCTGCTTCGACTATCAAGGCACTCCGGGAATAGAGGGTCACAAGAGTGTGACAAGCATACAAAACAAGTAGAGGGGAACATGACGATAGTAAGGATTAGGAAAGAAAAGGCAGCAGTTCCCTTTTGCAGTTCAGGCACAGTTGTGAGCGTGACATCGATGAATCAGCCCGTTTACAGTTATGCAGGGAATAGCCTGAAAACACTTCAGTCAGTAGCACCGCCCCGGGGGTACTTTGTTTGAGAGCAGACTAGGCTCCTGTGTTGTTCTCCCCAGGTTCTTCTTGTCCAAACGTCATTAACTCGTACGGATGCCCATTTTTTTTCATCTTAAAAGGGGGGGGGGTAGTTTGCGGGTGCTCTGGTGTGTTTGTTCTCATTTTTCCTATCAAACATCTATCGTCCTTATCTTTCCTCTTTCTTTCTTTTTTTTTTGTTTTTTACTCTCGTGTCTTGTAACATCTAATTTTTGACACTTATATGACCAAATTGTGTTGCAAGTATCGTAAAATTCTTACTAAAACTAGTCCAAACTGATGAGAGAATTCTTGGCAGCCCATCCTGAGAATGTCTATGTTATTTTATAACCAATAACGTAGGTCCCTCTATGCCAATTCCGAACAAAAAATCCAGCTCTGGCAAATACGCATAAGTGCAAGAATTGATCTGATTTGATTTGTTATTATTTTTTTAACTTTTTGTCTGTTATAGTTATGATTCACATAATTGTTGTTTTTTTTAAGTTTAATTTTCCACCACTCGATGATGAGTTTTCCACTTCGGCCTGCAACTTGAAGTGTGTACAGTTATTTGAAGGGAGTGCTTATTTAGGCAACATATGGCCTCAACAAGGTGAACCCCTCCCACTTAACATTATTTTGGCCACATATGGCTTCAATAAGGTTTACCCCACCACGGAACCTTATTTAGTCTACATATATGCTCAAACTACCCTTTTCACGCAACTGAGTTTGTTCCGCTTTCTCATTTAGTAGTTTTGTCGCGAGTGTTTATTACTTATAAATCATAACATAATGAAAAACAATGCACAATACGGAAATTTTTGCTCAGTCCCAATGGTTTGAATGAAGGCCAGATTTTTCCTTCCTGGAGGGGCAAAAGCTAGGCTGCCATTTGGGCACACTTTGGTCAAGTGAAAAAGTCAAATCCTCCGAATGGACTTCCGGGTCAAATTTGGTGTATATAAGTATTATAAGCGTGCACATGTGTCGGAGTGTCCGAGTCTAGACTTTCAGAGAACTTGTATAAGAACTCAAAGTCACACAGTGCACACATATAAACAGCACACTCCAATTCACAGACCACAAAGCACCAAAAAAACCCCATCACCTCACTGGAAATTCAACAACAGTTTACTAGAAAATGAAGATTTTGTACAAGCAGCCACAAACACGATAACCCTATACACACAACCACTCCCCTCCAACAACACTCGCGAATCCTGGGACATGATGAAAGACGCAATCAAAACAGTCAGTATCATCATGGCCAAGAGAATCAACACACGCAGACGACACCGAGAACACTCACTAGAACAAACACTAAAAATAGCAGAAGAAGAAGGAACACTACAAGAACCACAGAACTTAGAATTACAAACAGAACTAGAGGAAATTAGACAACACAGATACAGAGGGGCGCAAATACGCACAAGATTCACAGACATACCAGATGAAAAACCCACACAACAGTACCTATCACTAGAACAATCTATACAGAAAAACAGACACATAGAAAAAATCATAGACGCACAAGGCAACACACAAACAGACCCACACACAATAGCTCACGCATTTCAAAATTACTACGCCACACTGTACACCGAAGAACACACCGACCAGGCGATACAAGACGAGTACGCGAAATACACCGAACAACTGACAGACAAACAACAACAAACACTTGATACAGACACACAACCATCGGACCTTCGAGACGCTCTCAACACAATGAAAAAAAAATACTTCTCCCGGCCCCGACGGCTTAACCGTGGAATTCTATCAAGCCTTTTTCCCCATTTTGGCCCCCTTCTTTATGGCAATGATAAAAGAAAGTTTTGAGCTAGGATCCCTGCCCGAGTCTCAAAATCTTTCCTATATATCCCTCATTCCCAAAGACTCGGGCTCCCCTCTAGAAATGAAAAATTACCGACCAATATCCCTCCTAAATGTAGATTACAAAATTCTTTCCAAATCCCTCTGCAACAAGTTTAAGACAGTTTATGAAGGATCTGATACACCCTGACCAAACCAGCGCAGTACACAGTAGAACAATACAAGAACACAATCACACACTTAGGGACATCATATCATACACCGAAGACAAGCAGCTACACACATGTATTCTATCATTAGACCAGACTAAGGCTTTCGACAGAGTATCACACTCCTTCTTAAATAACATTTTAAAAACCTGTAATATCGGTCCCCAATTTCGTAAATGGATACAAATTTTATACAAAAACCCACAATCCGCAGTTCTAGTAAACCAAACTCTGTCGGACGCCTTCCGTCTGGGCCGCTCGGTACGACAGGGCGACTCCCTGAGTCCACTCCTGTATGTACTAACATTAGAACCACTCCTAAACAAAATACGGCAGGACGACAGGATCAAAGGAATCAAACTCCCGGGAGGGGGGGAACAAAAACTTATAGCATTTGCAGACGACACCAACTTCTTTCCGAGCACCCTAAAATCCTCAAAACTAATCCTAGAACACTTTCGGCACTTTGGTAAAGGAAGCGGGTCACAAATAAACGAGACAAAAACACAGGTACTAGCGTTAGGGAAATGGAAATCAACAAGTGGAGAACCGCTTCATGCACACCTTGTGCAAGAAATTAAGATTTTTGGAATTCACTATAAGAAAAGTAGAAATCAAAACCCCCAAAACTCGTGGACGAAGTTGGTAGACAAAATACAGAAACGCCTAAATCAACTTTATTACAAACAAACTTCAATTTTCGGCCGTAGCTTACTTGTAAACACCCTCGTCCTGCCGCAAATAAATTACCTCACGCAGACACTAGACCCGCCACAACAAATCATTAACAACATCAACACACACATCCGACAATTTATCTTCAAAAGCACACCTAGACACATCAGACACACAACACTAATACAAGACAAACACAAGGGAGGGGTGAGCCTACACGACATACGGACAAAAATCCAAGCATACAGACTCCAGTACATGAAAAAAGTCATAGCGGACAAAAATAAATACAAAATAGCTCACTACTACCTCGGCCCACGCCTCAGTAAACATACACCGTTAGACAACACAATACCACACTACTTCGGCACATTACCAACATTTCACAAAAACGCACTAGCCACACTGAGACAACACGGTGAGCTAAACAAGACCACTCACAACACAAAAACCACATACAAGGCTCTCGTCCTCCAAAAAGCAACAGCCTTACACGAACAAATACTCAGGGGAAGAAGATATGCTCTTATCGACTTTTCGGAATCCTTTAAAAACCTCTTTATTAAATGGGAGTGCTTATTTAGGCCACATATGGTCTAAATAAGGTAAGGGAGGGGGGTTTAGCTTATTTAGGCCACAGTGGACTGTGGCCTAAATAAGGTAAGGGAGGGGGGTTTAGCTTCTTTAGGCCACACATGCTCAAACTACCCTTTTCAGGCAACTGAGTTCGTTCCACTTTCATAATGGTGCACCTTTCTCATTTAGTACGGTTTTGTCTCAGTGTACAACTTATAAATTATAACCATAATGAATATTGTAAAGAACAAAGCACAATACGCAAAATTTTGCTCAATCCCAATGGTTTGAATGAGGGCCAGATTTTTCCTTCATGGAGGGGCAAAAGCTAGGCTACCATTTTGGCACACTTTGGTCAAGTGAAAAGATCAAATCCTCCAAATGGACTTCCGGGTTAAATTTGGGGTATAAAAAGTGTGTACACTGCGTGGCTGAGTCAAAGTTACACTAGGCCTATCTTTGCCTGAGTGACATTCTCTCCTACTGTCTCGTAGTAGTACATGTAGGCTAGTAGGCCTAGTAGTAGTAGTAGCAAAGATCGTGTAGAGAATATTTGGTAGTAGACTCTATCTAGTAGGCAGTTTAGAGAACGTGATCGCAGCAGGGCGAATCGGCCTCGATAAGCCCCGTGTAGACTTTTGTGATCGGCCATGAAGCCTCGTGTTTTGATGGGTCTAGATCTAGATCTAAACAACTCAGTGTTATTCGCACTGCCACATCCGACAGGCCTAGATCTACATCTTTTTAAAAGGAAAAGAAAGATCATCAAAATGGTTGAATTCGCGTGAAAATCGATTCGGTAGAACTAGAACTATTAAAATTTGCTTCTGAAAACAAGGCAATTTTTATGGGAGTGCTTATTTAGGCCACATATGGCCTAAATAAGGTAAGGGAGGGGGGTTTAGCTTATTTAGGCCACACATGCTCAAACTACCCTTTTCAGGCAACTGAGTTCGTTCCACTTTCATAATGGTGCACCTTTCTCATTTAATACGGTTTTGTCTCAGTGTACAACTTATAAATCATAACCATAATGAATATTGTAAAGAACAAAACACA